GGCTGTGAATGGAAGATTACCAAATGAGTACTCGTCATTGCTCGTGGAAAGAAGACTGGTACTCTCTATGTAACCTCAAACTTAGAGAATATCATTGCTGCAGCAGATGATGATGGAAAATCAAACCTGTGATACCAAAGGCTTGGCCATATGAGCGAGAAAGGGATGAAGATACTTTTGTCAAAAGGGAAGCTGCCGGATCTAAAGAATGTAGATGTCGGACTATGCGAGGATTGCATCTTTGGTAAACAAAAGAAAGTCAGCTTTACAAAGATTGGCAAGACTACCAAGGCAGAAAGGTTAGAATTGGTTCATACTGATGTATGGGGACCATCACCAGTTCCATCTCTTGCAGGCTCACTATATTATGTCAGCTTCATCAATGATTCAACAAGGAAGGTGTGGTTTTATTTTCTGAAGAAGAAATCAGAAGTCTTTGATACCTTCAGAAAATAGAAGGCCATGGTGGAAAATGAGATTGGTTTGAAAGTCAAGCGGTTGAGGTCTGACAATGGAGGAGAGTACAGAGATAGTAGATTCAGAGATTTCTGCGCAAACAATAGGATCAAGATGGAGACAACAATTCCCATAACACCGCAGTAGAATGGCGTAGCAGAGCGCATGAACAGAACTCTGAATGAACGTGCCAGAAGCATGAGGATACATGCCGGATTACCCAAATCTCTATGGGCTGAAGCTATCAACACTGCAGCTTACCTGATCAACCATGGGCCCTCAGTTCCTTTGGATGGCGGAATACCAGAGGAAGCTTGGAGCAAAAAAGAAATAAACCTTTCACACTTAAGAGTGTTTGGTTGTATTTCTTATGTACACATAAACTCTGCTGAAAGAAGTAAACTTGATGCTAAGTCCAACAAATGCGTCTTTGTTGGTTACGGTGGTGATGAGTTCGGTTACCGGTTTTGGGACTACGAAAATCGAAAGATCATCAGAAGCAGAGACATCATTTTCAATGAAAATGTGATGTACAAAGACAGGTCAACCGCAGAATCAAGTAATACCGAAGTTGAAACAAAGGAATTTGCTGAGTTCGAGGAGATTTCTGGAAATGATGTTCAGATCAGTCCTGAAGCAGTTCAAGAGGAAGAACCAGGCACACCAGAACTGAGACGCTCCTCCAGAATTCCTAAACCAACCCAACGGTATTCGCCTTCTTTGCACTACTTGTTGTTGACTGACAATGGTGAACCAGAGTGCTATGATGAAGCGATGCAGGTGGATGATTCAGTCAAGTGGGAGTCTTCCATGAAAGATGAGATGGACTCGCTTATGTCAAATCAGACGTAGGAATTAGCTGAATTACCACCAGGCAAGAAAGCGCTCCATAACAAGTGGATTTACAGGATCAAAGAAGAGCACGATGGGAGAAAACGCTACAAAGCAAGATTGGTTGTCAAAGGATTTCAGCAAAAAGAAGGTATTGACTACAATGAAATTTTCTCTCCAGTCGTAAAACTGTCTACAATCAGACTGGTGTTGAAAATTGTAGCTGCAGAGAATTTACATCTTGAGCAGTTAGATGTAAAGACAGCTTTCCTTCATGGTGATTTGGAGGAAGAAATCTATATGAGGCAGCCAGAAGGCTTCATAGAGGTAGGCAAGAAAAACCTGGTATGCAGGTTGAAGAAGAGCTTGTATGGTTTAAAACAAGCTCCTAGACAGTGGTACAAGAAGTTCGATAGTTTCATGAGTAGCAGTGGTTTTACCAGATGCCAAGCAGATCATTGTTGCTACATCAAGAGGTTCGACAATAGCTTCATTATTTTATTGTTGTACGTTGATGACATGCTCGTTGCAGGCTCAGACATGCAAGAGATTATAAACTTGAAGCAAAAATTGTCAAAGCAGTTTGCTATGAAGGATCTGGGCGCTGCAAAGCAGATTCTTGGGATGAGGATCAAGAAAGACACAAAGTCGGGGACTTTGATATTATCACAGGCTGAGTATATCAACAAAGTACTCTCCATGTTCAACATGCAAGATGCTAAACCAGTAAGTACACCTTTAGGTGTTCATTTCAGACTCTCCAAAGAACAGTCACCAAAGACGGAGGAAGAACGTGCACACATGGTGAAGGTGCCGTATGCCTCAGCAATTGGAAGTCTGATGTATGCCATGGTTTGTACCAGACCAGATATTGCTCAAGTAGTGGGAGCTGTTAGCAGGCACATGAATAATCCGGGCAAGGTACACTGGGAAGGAGTCAAATGGATCCTCAGATATCTGCGGGGTACCACAAACAAAACACTTTGTTTCAAAGGTGGAGATACGATACTGACAGGCTATGTAGATGCTGACTTAGCCGGAAATGTTGACATCAGAAGGAGCACTACAGGGTATGTCTATACTCTAGGAAGAACCGCAGTGAGTTGGGTTTCTCAACTACAAAAGATAGTTGCTCTCTCCACAACTGAAGCAGAATATGTCGCTGTTACGGAAGCCAGCAAGGAGATGGTTTGGCTCCAAAGTTTCTTGGAAGAGTTAGGCAAGAAACAAGAAAACAATGTCTTGTATTGCGACAGTCAAAGTGCTATACATCTAGCAAAGAATCCGTCTTTTCATTCCAGGACAAAGCACATACAATTGTGATATCATTTTATCCGGTCTCTTCTGGAAGATGGGATTTTGAAACTTGAAAAGATCAGTGGAGCTTAAAATCCGGCAGACATGTTGACAAAGACGGTGACTACAGACAAACTGAAGTTGTGTTCAACTTCAGTTGGCATGCTAGAGTAATAAGACTAGAAAAGCTGTTGCATTGATCGAGGTGTGAAGACAGATTAAAATCAGTCTTCAAGTGGGAGATTGTTGAAATTATTAAAATGGTTTTCAAGTTTGGTAACCAACTTTGAAAAAATGGTTTTCAAAGTTTGGTAAATGTTTCTTTGAAAATGGATTTCAAAGTTTGGTAAATATTTCTTTGAAAAATAGTTTTTCAAAGTTTGGTAGATGTTTGTTGAAAAATGATAATGGGATAATCACAATTAATCCCTAGGCTTTAGGGTATTTACAAGATTAAGTCCTTAAGTTTCAACTATAAATACCCTAGCTCATTTGGCTTCAAAACCATTCCAAAAATCATTTCTTTCTCCCAATACTAGAGAGCTTTCTTGTGAGTAGTGAGTGTTTTGTAAACACCTGTAAATTTTCTCTCTTAGTAAAAGATCTGCAGCAGTCCGGAGACGTAAACACAATTGGCTGTACTCCGTTATCAATTTCGGGTATTATTTTTCCGCTTTTATTTCGTATTCTCACTAATCTGGTAATAGGGAAATTACTTGTACTTGGTTTATTTCCTAATATGAACTTCTATGTTTCAAGAGAATCAAATTGTTGTTTCATCTTGAGGTCAACGCTATTGAAAACTATGTATCCAATGGAAGCTATCAAGACAAAGATTGTTGTTGTTTCATTGGAACTTCTCCAAGACTAATAATACATATTTTGCTGATGTGGGAACAGAATAGTCACTTTTGGGGTTTTCAAGTTGTTAATTTTAAAATGAAATTAAACAAACTTAATTATAGATCGAATTCAATAAGCAGGCCATTACGTACATAATTCACGAAGTCAGCCCTGATCTCTATCAAATCGAATCTTAGGCACAAAGAGAAAAAGAATGAGAAGCTGATGTTTTAATTCCATCAGCGTTTGCTTTTCGAATACCGGCTTTCATTATGTTTTTTTAATAATCTGGAGCGATTGCATAAATCTAACCGTAAATTAATTAATAAATCACTCTATTATTAGTGATCTAAAATATAAAAAAGTCACAAATAAGTCACTCAATATATCATAAAAGAAAATGTTATTTTAGGTAATTTCTTAAAAAATTAAGGATCTATTTAACGATCCAAACGATGGAGATATTTTCGTGGACAGGAGGAAGAATATATCTTGAGAGCGAGATGATCTAAACATGGACACATAGTTTGTGATTCAAGAAATTTGAAAGTTTTAGGATGAAATTTAAGATTAATCGTGATAGAATTTTATATTATTAAAGTAATAATTTTGGATAACTATTATAATTCATTTGATCATATTCGTTTAAATAAAATTCACATGTATTATTTATCTATATGTTGGGAACATTATGTACTAAAACTTGAAATTGCAATTAAAGTAATAAAAGTATCATTAATCACATAATAACTAATTACTAAACATTATGTATCATAGATGATGGTGGTACATAGTATCATTAAGTATAAAGTATTACATTTCATATAACGTATATATTTAAAGAGAAATCGTCTGGTATCATTAAGCATTAGGTCACACAACTACAGATTTTTGGGTAATTTTTTGTCGCACGTGATAAATATTTAATTATTATTTTTTATGAAAAAATAAATAAAACACTAAACGAAATTGTTATCAGCCGTATGAATGTTGATACTGGGCTTTCATTTTAATCACCGGCAATCTGCCAAACCAAGAACTCCACGACACCTTCATTCATTACACAAAGTACATGACAAAGTGGATGCAATTTTGTAGCTAAGAAAACCCTTCGATTGCATCACACATAAAGATATTAGTTTTGGATTTATCTGCATTGAATTCATATGGTTTTGTTAAACCTCGGGCTGCAGCTCTTTTTTAAAATGCAGATCGGATATTTCACAAAATATTCTCATGGATTAAAGTTGATTGATGTTTTAATCACCTAGGAACTCTTCTACAATGGTGCATTTCATTCAAATGATTGCAACGTAATTGATATTAGGATATATACAACAATACCATGTTGGCTCCATCCACAACAAACATCATAGATTACATCACTAATCACTAAGAATTTAAAAATCTCTCACTGTTCATGCTGGTTTTCTTTTCTTCTTGTTTACTGCTCAGTCCTATGTTCATCGGAGACATCATCATTTATTTGCCATTGTGTTTGTTATAGTACATTATGGCCTACCATTGAACAACCTTAAATACACCAACTTAATTTCAAGCTTAAGGCAGTAAGAATGGAAGATCCTAAGAGAGTAGAAGAAGGGTTTGGTCGGACTCCATTGGATCATGACGATGATAAAGATGGTAATAAATGTGACAATGGAGAATGCTTTGATAATAATGCAAATGATGATTGGACTGCTGTTAACGGTGAACGGAAAGGGGAGGATCAACCTCCACCATCAGAAAAGCCAAAGACCAAGAGGGTTGCTACCTTGGATGCTTTTAGGGGGCTAACCATTGTTGTAAGTCAAATACCTCTTTAATGCAACAGTTTTTAGCTAATCATGGGCACTTAAAGCCTCAAAATGAACTGATGGTTAGTTAATTTTGAGCTTATAGATGATGATATTGGTAGACCATGCTGGCATTGCATATCCAGCACTTGATCATGCACCATGGGATGGATGCATGTTAGCTGACTTTGTCATGCCTTTTTTCCTATTCATTGTTGGAGTTGCAGTTGCCTTGGCTCTCAAGGTATACAATCTTTTCCTAGAAAAAATACCATATTTTCCAGCAATATGATTCGGATTTTATCTGATAAACCCTATCATCACAACATTGCAGAAAATTCTCAAGATCAAGGATGCAATCTATAAGATAACCTTGAGGACACTAAAGCTTCTATTTTTGGGAATTCTGTTGCAAGGTTTGCCGTATAACCTGTGATTTCAATTACCAATAAATATATAACATGGTTTTCTCTGTTACATGAACACTTCTCTATTTTTCCATATTGACATACTGCAGGAGGTTATTCTCATGCTTTAGCTGATAATATTGATCTTGCTTATGGGGTTGACATGAAGCTTATTAGATGGTGTGGCATTCTCCAGGTCGTCTCTCTTATACTTATCTTTTAAAAGATTCGAGTGTATAACCACGTCGATCTCATCCCGTATAAAATATCGAAGGATTAAAAAGGACAGCTTTCATAGTAACATTTTACTAAGCACTGTTTCCTTTGTCAGAGCAGAGAATAGCATTGGTATACTTTGTTGTAGCTCTGATAGAGACTCTGACAACGAAAAGGAGACCACTCGTTTTATCACCCGGACATGTGTCCATTTTCACTGCATATCGATGGCAATGGTAAAAATTAAGTTCAGCTTAACTGAAATTATTCGAGAGTTTGTTCGAGAATCTTTAAACCATATTTTTATTATTGTGGAACAATACTCTGATAGTTTGCTAACCTCAAAGAGAGATTGTAATTGATTTACCATGAATCCAGGATCGGAGGTTTCATCGCGTTTTCCATTTACATGATCACGACATATTCATTGTATATTCCAGACTGGAGTTTTGTTGATCATAAAGGAGGCAAAACATACACTGTGTGTTCCAAATAGCTGGTACAAGAAGATTATTGCCATTATTTATGTACTTCAAGCTGAAAACTTTATTGACTATTGCAGGTGAAATGTGGGACGAGAGGCCACTTGGGGCCTGCCTGCAACGCTGTTGGATATGTCGATAGGGAGATTTTGGGAATAAATCATCTGTATAAGAGCCCTGTCTGGCAACACCTTAAGGTTTAGTTTTTCACAATGGTGGAATCAGTTTAATTTTCCTTTACATGTTTCCAGAAAGCCAACTGTGAATCCTTTGAACAAATTCTTAGGCTTGTACCCTTAGTTCTCCACGTGCCGGCCCTTTTCGATACGATGCTTCCAGGTGGTGCCATGCTAATTTCGAACCTGAAGGCTTGTTAAGGTTTGAAACCTGTCATCAACTCTTAAAGAAACTGTAAAACTAAACGAAGCAAAGAATGAGATTAATGGTCGTTTCTCTTTTATTACAGTTCAGTCTCTGCTATTCTTTCCGGTACCATTGGCATCCATTACGGGCATGTATTGATACACTTCAAGGTTTGTGAGTACTCCATTAAAGCTCTTGAACAATCATATCAACTTCCAGAAGAAAAACAACTGAAAAACTGAAACATATTTGCAGGGTCACTCCCAAAGGCTGAAGCAATGGGTATCAATGGGATTTGGCTTACTTATCCTAGCATTCCTTCTTCATTTCACACATGGTTAGTGCCTTTGGCTGTCCATGATTTTGAGCACTAAAATCCAATTATGTCAAACCTCAGATTTTTTGTACTTTTAATTTGATGATGAATTTAACGAAGAAGGTTTCTCCCCTTGCTTTCAGCTATTCCGATCAATAAACAACTCTACACTATAAGCTATGTCTGCCTCACAGCTGGTGCTGCAGGAATTGTATTTTCAGGATTCTACATTGTGGTATTGCAAATTGAACCCTGCCATTAGTTCTTCATACAAGGATGCAAATCCACAGTTTCAGGTTGATTTTTGTTTCATTTTTTTATTGCTTATCGTTTTCGGGAAAAAATGGAACAGATTGATGTTTGGGGGTTTAGGACTCCATTCGTATTCCTGGAATGGATAGGAATGAACTCCATGCTGATATTTGTATTGGGAGCTCAAGGTATACTTGCAGCATTCATCAATGGCTGGTATTATAATAACCCTAATGACACACTTGTAAGTGTATGCTTTTATACAAAATTTCCATTAAGCAGTTCAGGTTGGAATTATCGATTTCTTGAAATGTCTCCCTAACAATGCATATTAAACGATGAAATGTTCAGGTTACTTGGATACAAAGGCGTGTATTCATTGATGTTTGGAAGTCCAGGCATCTAGGCACTCTCTTCTATGTGATTTTTGCTGAGATCATATTCTATGGAGTTCTTGCTGGAATCTTACATAAATTGGGGATGTATTGGAAGCTGTAACCAGGCAGTGTTGGATTCAATAAATTGCAGGTTCTACTACAGACAACAAACAGATTTCCTTTTTCTTATTTGTCTGCAAAAACTCTGTAGGGAGTACTTGTATTGCTAAATGTTGATTGCAATCAATGTGACCATGCAATCCATAAATCCTTAATTGTACTGCTATATGTTGAACAATGGAAAAGACATCCTTGTTGACCTATGAAAATTTGAGATATAGAATCTGGAGCACTATTGGTCTATATCGTTGAAATATTCACAATAAAATAGACATCAAAATTATATAACAAAACTATTTCAAGAAAAATCACGATAAAAAGAGAATTTCCATTAATGTTAAAAATAGAATAATAAAAGAGGAATTTTAGAAATCGACTTATCATCTAATAATCCTTATTATCTATTTAAATGGATAGTTACATGATTTAGTAGAAATCTAATCAAACTATATTTTTTACTTTTAATTCACATAAAATATAATAAATACCATACTTTCAATCAAACTAAGTTTCTTACTTTCTCAAATTTTCTCTTAATTTTATATCTTCGTTAATCTGAGTCAGATCTAATTAGGGTAAAACTTCAATAGCCTCTACTTTGACATGAATTCTGAAAGTGCAAGGAGTTCAAGAAAAATCTCAAATTAAATGAAACGCTTTAACTTAACATAAGAAAAAAAGTAAATTCTTCATAATGATGAACAAGTTCTTCACTTCTTTCACGAAACCCTTTAAAGGGTACTCTCCAACAAAGTGTTAGAAGTGAGAACAAGTTTGGTAGAAACCAAATCAGTAATATTATATATATATCCATCAAACATAATCATTAGGAAGGAGCATAACTGCTATCTAGTAGATATATGATTTTGCTTCCTTAAAAGACATAATGAATTGTAATTGATGGCTATGCACCCTCGCCCTTGCAAGGGCTGTCAGTGCAGCGACAAACAGGTCGGCCGGAAGCTTCCCAGCCATTGAAACCGCGCTCCAAAACCAAAATTTTCTTAATTCCGGTATCTTCCTTCAACTCCTCTAGATGATAGGCTAACCTCCGTGCACAAGTTGGGCCACGAACCTGCAAAAGCATCAACACCATATTCAGTGTTCATAGAAAGGTACCATTGTCATGTGAGAATAATATAATAGTTTGAATTGATCATGCAGTCCAGTTTGCAAAAGCTTGCAATATTTATGCTTCCATATTATGATAAATCTCAGTCATGGGATCAAAAGCAATTGCAGATTATATTCTAAAATGATCAATTGTATGCGAGCAGGAGGGAAAATACAAAAAGAACGACAGAGTCAATGAAATCATGACGAGACTTATTATAAACTACGAGAGCTGCTTGAGTTAATTATGTTTAGCAGGGTCTTCTGGCTACGAAACTGTTGGATAAACTAAAGCAGCAGTTCTAAACACTCAGAAATTGAAACAATGAACAAAAAACAAAAAACATGGAGGGTAATAGTAAAAAGCATTAAGCTCATGCATGGGTCACTCAATTGTCTCTTCCAACTGTAGAAACCGAATAAGCAAAAAGTGCAGTCCAGACTCCAGAGAGCAAAATTCTTTTCCAAAGGAACCATGACAATGCATGCACCGAACCAAATATGTCTTTCCAGGGAGAAAGGGTTGAGCCTTGAATAGATATTTCAAATTCTACCTTGATTCATACATCAGTTTTACGGTCCATGCAGACGAACCTCCTATTCACCTATGAGACTTTGCTCAATAGAAAGACATACTTCCTCTAAGGCTTTCAGATATTCATTAGGACACGATGCAAGTCCAACCTATTGAATCAGGACAGACAATTTGCATTTGCAAAAAACATCCATCTCAATACACCAATATGAATATCTCAATCTACCAGAGGCATAATCAAACTCTTTACCAGAAAAAAAAAAGCATAACATAGGCCATCAAACCCACCCTTGCAATCATCCCAAAGCACATCTTTAATTGTTAAATGCTTGTAACAAAGCTAGCTTTCAGATTCTAATTCAGAAATACTTGAAATACCAAACCATAATTAATAACTTGACAACAAATATTGGCTCTCAAAACTATCAATCTCAATCCATCAAAGAAAATTTCTAATATCTCTCTTACATCTAAGAACAACAGATTCAATTAAATAGACAGACCAAAAGGTAAAAACCCAGAAGAAGATGATGAAGAAGAAAGTACCTGGCTTAAAGCACAGTGAAAAACAAGAGTATCTTTTCCTTTGACATCTTGAATAAGATTGGAGATCTTATCATTGAAACTGCCACTGGCATAGTGCAAGGACCCAGCTATATGCCCATCATAACTCCTTTCATCATCCCTTTTATTAACAAAATTCCCACACCAACAAACATACCCAGATTAAATATATTCCCAAATAAGCCAAAAAAAATCGAAATATACTTAGAAACAAGGGAATTAACCAAAAAGAGAACAAAAGAACTGAACCTGACATCTATAATGGCGATATTCGGAAGACGTTTAAGGGGAAGGAGTTGAGAACCGGTTATGTAGGAGATGGTTTGAGCCATTCGCTTTGCCAGGATCTTTGCTGGGTCTCTTGCAATCTCTTCGTTCTTGTCTGGAAGAGAACCAAAGTTGGGTTTTTATTAGATTTATTAGGAAGTGAAGAATCTGATCTTGTTCTGTAACCATGTGATTTGGTCGTTGGATTTAGGCTTTGTTTGGCCGACTTTATTTCTTTACTTCATTAATTTATTGTGATTTTATTTTTAAGGTTTAATTTACAATTTAACTCCTGTATTATATCCTTTTTTTCACTTTAGTATTTAAATTATTTTTAATTTTGGACACTGAACTATTTTTTTTAAATTTAGTCACTAACATTATATTTTTCTATTTTGGTCACCAATGATTAAAAAATTAATCTAGAATATGACATGACCTAGTATAATAACAATTTTAGTCTCCAAAACTTATGTGTTCTGTCAATTTAGTTATAATTCATGATAATTTAATAAATTCAACCCTCAATATTTATAAATTTTATTAATTTGGTCTTTATTTTAATTCTAAATAATTTAATAAATTTAATCCTCTAATAAGATAGTAGCATGTCTCTTTAGGGATGTAAATGAGATGAATCGAACTCCAGTATTGTTGAGTTTGACTTGACTCGAAAAATTCAAAGCTAGGTTTGACTTAACTCCAAAGCTTGCGAGCTTAAAATTTTCAAGTTCGACTCAAACTCGAAATAAAAAATTGAACCTCGACTCGAGCTCAAAAAAAGTTGAACTCGAATTATTCTCAAGCTTAGTTCGAAGCTAATCGATTGAAGCTCGAACTCAAACCTGGAACTCAAATACATAAAAATCTTGTACTGTATTTCTTTAATAAAAAACAACATATATATTTTTGAGGTTGACTTGTTTCTTAAAATGATAAAAGTATTTTGTTATCTTCAACTTTTTGAGTTTGCAGAAAACAAATTATTTGGAACACTTATTAGATGTGCAGAGGACATTGGGACATCCACCTTCAATGGGAGGCTACCGAGTAGCATCTCTTGGTTATCCTTTCTTTGACATTCTTTTGAGAAAGAGACATATTCTCGTAGCCATAGGGTTAATGATCTTATCTTCTAATCCTTTAGAAATGAGATTACTAAATCATCTTCAATAGAAACTTCCATGCATGAAATACAAGGATTGGTGCTCTGTCACAATGTCTCATTAGCCATCCTTTTGTGTATGCCAAAACCAAGGCAGAGTTCAACGAACAAGAACCTTTTATACTAAGATAATATAAAAAGTAATTCTGATAATAAAAAGATCTTCAAAATACTCCATATCCAATTGCAAATAAAAATGTTTGAATAGTAACTCTATCCACAAACACATCTAAGAACATGTTGGGGGGTTCATTTTCCTCTCACCTACCCCATTAATTACCAGATTTTAGAGATTCTACTAGATTGTCCCTACTTTACTCGATCACAATGCCAAGGACAAATACGTTTGGATAGTGCGTTGAAAAAAATAATTTTTCTTTTAGAAAGGGCGGTGTAGATTTTATTTGTTTAAATAAGATAAATATTATAATATTTAAAAAAGTTGCATAAAAGACATATATTCGCATATGTTTGTTTAAAAAAACATTATTCGTTCATACGTCTTCATGAAAATATCAAATAATACAAACGTCTTCTCGTGTGAGCACGAGATATCAGATCTTCCCATTTTGTAATGAGTCCTTTGGATATACTTTATGTTAAATTACGTAATAAGTCATTCACTTAGTAATAAGATTATAAATTGATTTTTTTTAATTTCAAAGCATTATATATGACTCTCTAAAAGAAGAGCTATAAAAAAAGTTGTCCTCTGTTTTACTTTTATCGCTATTCCGTAAACATTCTCGACTCTCCGCACCAAATATTTTTTCTTTATTAAACGAATTCAAGAAGAAGAAGAGGAGGAGAAAGTAAGGCCAAATCCACCAGACTCCTTTAACGCTCGACACTCTTCAAAATTGAAAACCACTTTCTAGGTAAAGTCGTCTTCTTTTTGTTCATCAATATTCATACTTTCTTTTTTTTTCTTGTATTCAAAGCATTGACATTTTGATCTGGGTTTTCACTTTTTGGCTTAAATTTTGTGTTTCTTGAACTTCATATCAATTTCCATGCTCGTTTAAATTCTGGGTGTTTGTGGGTTTGGTTATCCATCAATTTCCTCTTTGCATAGTGCTATTTTTCTCTCTTTGGTTGTAGTTGGTTATGCTTGATTGCTCATGTAACAGTTTCATTTGGATGGAAAACTATTATTTCTGAATTGAAATAGGCACAAAAGTGAGTATAATGAAGTTGTTGCTAGCTGATTAGAACCATTGCTTCAGTATGTTTTAGGAACTGATTAGGTTTGTATTGAGATCGTTGGAGTCCAGAAGATTTTGAGTTAATGGTATCTATGTTAATCTAATTGGATAATTGGTGTGTATTAACGTGCATTTGGATTTATATAGGGGAA